ATATAGATATTATATGTATGCCTTGCATTTGTGTTTACCTACTGATCACCCAGAAATGTTTTTTAACCTTGAACTTTAAGAAAACTTAACTTTAAATCCCAAAATTCCCCAGGAAACCATCATTTGAGTGAGAGGAGTGTATGGATTACCCACAGGGGTGGTGCCTTGGTTTGGTCATCATTAGATCATTTTTGTTTATTACTAAGTTCACTATGTTCTTCCAAGCTAAGCAATTCCGAGCAGGTTACGCTACAGTATTAAGGTTAAGAATGTACAAAACAGAAGCATAAGCCAAATAGTCAAAAATATATCGTGTAATACAGCTCCTTAACCACAGACAATGAATGGTCCGTTCTGTCTTCCAAACTTTTCTGAAAGGGCTGGGACCTCACTTAGGACTACGAGCTAGCAAGAGTTCTTGAATTGCCCTTGACTCCTCCCTCAAGGAGAGCATATGGAAATCATTTATGACTAGAATCTGGATTAATAAGGTTAATGGACTTCAACACACCCAGATTGTCCCTTAACTCAAGCACACAAGCAGGATCTCCTGTCTGTAGAACTGCACAGACCCAATTTATTATCCCTATCCTTCCCTGCTATGAGATCTTGGCTGATGCAATCCTAATACATGGATAATGTCTTGGTGATACAAACCAGATCTACCCTCCCTTCCACAATCAATCTTATAAATTACAGTCAACTCTGTGAAACCCACAGCTCTCAATAGTGAAGGTGAGTCCCTTAGCAGGGGTCTTCAAACTTGGCAAGTTTAATCCTTGTGGACTTCAACTCCCAGAATTCCTCCTCCAGTCATGTTAGCTCAGGAATTCTGGGAGTTGAAGTCCACAAGGCTTATTAAACTTGCCAGGTTTGAAGACCCTTGCCTTACAGTGTAGCGAATATTTTGTACAAATTTGATGAAACAATCTCGATTACTTTCCATTTTGCTTTGCATAAACCTCCTTTAGCAGTTTATGTTTACACAAATAACAAATTTGAATTTTATTTGTAAGTTCAAAAGGAGTTGTTGGGTGGTTCATCTCTCCAGATGTGTTTTTGGACGATCCGCAGAACTGCTAGCTGAAAATGTTGAGAAGGGAAATGCCACACTGGGGAGGAATAGATCAGGAGAACAGGAGATAGGAAAGAGCTGTATTTGGCATAACAGGAAAATGGTTGAACTTGCAAACAAACTGCAAGACCCTAGCAATCTCTGTGTGCCTTCTAGTAGCTCACTTTCAAGACTTAATCTGGTTGGAAATGAGAAATTTATGTGTAATCTAACATTTACACTATTTAAGCTTTCATTTCCCATTCTTTCTGCATTTTAATCATTTAATAAATGAAGTGACACATCACAATCTTAACATAGGAAAATATTTGTACCTCAGGTTGAAATGAGGGGTTCTTGGTACTCCCTGAATTTGGTTGTTTACTTGCAGTCATTTCATTACTCAAAATAGGTAACATAATCAGTTCTGGTAGGGACTGGAATTCTTCACTCCCTACCAGCTCCAATGATGTCTAGTTTGGGTAGTGAAACATCTGCAAGCAAACAATCAAGCTCAGAGAGCACCCTCCATTAGAGCCCCTCTAATTAAAAGACCCTCAAGATTCTTTACTGCTAGTGCTACAGATGAAAATAGGACTTATTACTATGAAATACACAAGCTACAGAAATATGAAGCTGCAGGGCCATAATGACTCAATTGTAAACCAAGCTTTTTCTAGCAAATAATTCAGACTAAAAGTGCAAGGAACTCAGGATAAATGTTCTAAACCCAGTGCTTAATCTCAAACATGTAGATATATCAGTGTACTGCACTAACTTCTAGCTGTTTTTTAAAGGTTGGTATTTGATAGTATCTTAGACAACTTGATATCAGACTTTTTAAAAGTTTGTGTTTGTAAAATTAGTCCGAATTTATTTGTCAGGGCAATTCAATAGGCTTTGCCTGCATTTGGTTTAGTCAGATTAAGAACAATATCTGAAGAATTCATCATGTTACTTATCTTAATGGCTTGTAGGTGTTCCTTGCCTAAGGGTGTTTTTCCCCCAGGAATACTTTCCTGAAACTAAAAGCTTAAAAAAAAGCTAAAAATTGAATACTTTATTTGTGATGTTGCAGAGAAAAAGAAGAGAAACATCTTGTGTATAAGAATAAACATTACAGGCTTACAGAGTATACAAACATGGTCAATCATACTTTGTTTCAAATCAATACTAAATTTAATGCCACAGAAATAGGGTTCATTATTTCCTCATAATGAAATAATCCCTTTGCAAGTTTGACACTGCACAGAAGCTTGCCAGAATCAAGATTTATCCAGATGTTCATGGACTGAATCTGAACTTCAAATTAGATTTATGTAGCCACCATCGCATTACTGAAACACACAATAAATTACGCTTACAGCTTTACATATAAGGAAAAATTGACACAAGAGTCTAAGTTGGATCCAGACATATATCATGCTTATGGATCATCAAAATTAATGGGACTTAGGTTAATCACACATATTCTAAGTCTGGAGTACTAAATGTTATATTTGATATATACTCCATTGCAATGCTATTTTAAACCATTCCCAGAAAGTAATGCTTATCTGCTCCTTTGTAGGCTCCTTTCTAAAATGTTATTTGTTCCTTACCCTCCTTTTCCCTACAAATAACAACTAGAAAGTTACTTGACTCTGTGTGCCACACAGTTGTGGTACTGTTAGTGCCAAAAGACATAATAAAGATTGATCCTGAGGGAGAAGATTTAATGGCCAAGATATTATTCTATTATCATGATCTTATTGGACTTCAACTCCCATGAGATGAAAGCTGCTAGTTGTGATGGACATCATTTTGATCTAATTAGAGCCTTTAATATACAGGGGAATCTGCAATATAGGTACCCTATTTTTATGTACAGATCAGCCCCTATTTTATGACACTTTAAAATGTACAATCAAAAATCTTTATTGTCTGCACAGAACAGTTTTAGTCATGAAAATGGGATGAAAAGAGTCTATGGATTTATTTATTTTTCTTAGAGGCATTTTGCTTGTTTGCTGTCCGTGCAATGCAAACATTTCCCACAGTAATTTATAAAGCAAAATGCTCCATCCAGTTATCTACTTCAGATGGCAAAAGAGAGAATAAGGAGCCAGTCCATTGCTACACATTTATTCTGAAACTTTAAGTGTTTATAACAAAAGATGATTTATGTTTCCCACATTATTACAAATCAAGGTGTTTTTAGTTTCTACTATTATAAAAGTAAAGTATGTTCTGAGTCATTTTAAAAAGCAGGCCAATATTTTGATACATAAACTGTACATGAACAACAAAAAACAAGGCACTATACATTTTTGGGATATAAATTTGGATTCAGTGAGCTTCTCTAGAAATGCATATGATAATTCTTTGTTCAGTTTAGCAGCTGAAAACAGCTTTGAGAACAATACTTTTGCAATTAAAAAAATCCAGAATAAGGAAGGGAGAAAGCTGAAAATCAGCCATAGTCGAAGATAAAATAATAAGTCTAGCTACTTTCCTGGAACTTTCTTTACAAAAGTGTTGAAAATGAATAATACAAACTGCATTGTTAAATACATCCTTCTCCTATGCGTTTACATAAATACGAATCCTTTTGAAAATCCACAGCTTGAACAAAATAAAACTTTACAAAAAGAGCATTTTCAAAACTCAAATGACACGTAGTGTGAGTAGCCAAAGGATCAGCAATCAGAAAAGTTCCTGCTCAGAGTACAAAGAACATAATATCTAAACGTGGCCTATACTTTGGAACTGTTGCCCAACAAAATGTCTTCCAAAGATGCTTGTCGCACATTTACATTATGATATGACTTCAGAACATATAGCAGAGCCTAGTAACTTCAGACAGAATCTCACTTTTGAGGGTGAAAACAGGCATGCTACGTTGGCCAAGAGATGCCAACGGACACGTTCCATTCCAACTCCAGCCCATGATTCAATTCTGGCCCTTTCAGAAAAGCCCTTTTGCCTTTTTGAGGTTCACCTGCTTCCAAGAAGGCAGTGCGTTGTATTCTTCTCTAGTTAATTGTAATGCAGCCTGAACATGATCAAAATGAAAGAATTAAAAATGTAGACAAACATACAAAAGGAATACAAAACAGAGAGATAACGGTGAGTTATTCTAGCTTACCTCAAAGTCCTCATTTGAAAGGTAGATTTCAAGATTAAGTGGGTCCACTCCCTCAGGGAGAGGCCTTGCTAAGAGATCAGCAAGTGGATAAAACTTTTGGCATAGCTTGGCCAGCACGTCTTCTACCAGAATGATCTGATTATAAGCTTCAGCATCCTGAGGAAGAACCAGAGGTTACAGAACAAAATAATCCAAATAGAAACAATAAACAAAAATAATCTGAACCAGTTTCATATGGAGTTTGAATTCTTCAGGGAAGCAAAGCTATGGGTTATCACCCTCAATTCAGCCAAGTAATCTCTACAGAGAAATCAAGTTTGTTTGTTTATTTAATTGCTTGCTTATTTAAGAATAGAATAGAACAGCAGAGTTGGAAGGGACTTTTGGAGGTCTTTTAATCCAAGTCACAGAGCCATTCCAAATCCTATCCTATTCAACGTATTTATAAATACTTGGATTGGCAAATTAGAAGAAATATTTATCAAATTTGCAAAAGACACCTGAATACAAAAGACTGAGAACATTACAGCTATACTGTACAATAAGCAGAAAGTAGCAATGTGAATTTCAATAGAAACAAATGCATAATCCTATATTTGGATCAGAAAAACCAGAGACATAAATATAAGACTGGGGAGCAGGGGTGGGATTCTACTGGTTCGGACCGGTTCTATAGAACCGGTTGTTATGATTCTGCGCAGTTTGGAGAACCGGCAAATTGTGCCCTGGCTGGCCCCTCCCCTCTCCGCCCATTCCTCTCCTCCCCGCCCAGTCAGTCCTTATCGCGCATGTGCAACATTGTGCACATGCCCAACATCGTCACTCTTTAAGGTATTTCTTTTTTCCCCCTCTCCCAACCATCAGCTGTTCCTATGATCAGCTGTTCTGGGATTCCCTGCTGTCTTACTGCTTCACCCAGGAGGCTTCCCTGAGGCCCAGGAAGGCAAAAAATAGAGGGGGGGGGATACAGCTCCCCCCATGTTTTGCCTTCCTGGGCTCCAGGGAAATTTCCTGGGAGCAAAAACACCCCCCAAGGCTTCCCTAAGGCTCAGAAGGCCCCAAATTGGAGGGTGGGGAGGTGCAGTGCACCCCTTCCAAGCTGTTTTTTTCCCCTTCCTGAGCCCTAGGGGAGCCTTCTGGGAGCAAAAATGCCCCCCCCCCCGAGACAGGGAGTTGTTAAGAGATGGTCTCAAATAATTTTTACATTTTATGATTCTATTAAAATAATCCAATATCATATTCTCTTTAATTGGCTCAGTCTTAAGTTTCATACTTTATTTACAAATTAATATTCTCCCATTGTTACCTTAAATTTATATTTCAGCCTTCATAGTTCTAAATAAAGCTCTCTATTATATTACAAAGGAAAAGGTGCAACTATCACAAACTCCAGCTTTTCACAAACAAGAAATCCATTTCCTGAGAAAGATAAGGAGTAACTCCTGGCTCGCTATCTAACAGTTTTTAGTTCATTGTTGCTTTAGCACTAATATATTTCCTTGGGCCTTGAAAAAATAATGAATAGGTAATAAAACCTCAGTTAGAATTCATCCCCTCCCTATTGTTTTAAACTCACTGCCCTGAAAAGATTCAAGCACCCTATCCAGGTTAACTCCCTGGATATTTGTGCTTCCTACTATGAAGCTCCAGCATATCCAAATGCAGACAGAAAACTGAGAAAACTGACGAAAAAAAATTGATTTACCATTTCGGTGATTTCAGCAATGTCGTCTCTGTGTTCCCAGCTGGGAAACATATTAGTAAATGTCAAAGGCTCAAGACCAGCATGGATCAGATAAGATTTAGGAGGCTTCTTCATGTTCTTTCCTATACATTAAGAAAAAAGTGTTACTCACAAAATAAATTATTGCTGATATTCCCTCTTTACTGTTCTGAATTATTTATGAGCAAACCCAAGACCAAACACTTTATATTGCAGTAGACATTTCAAACATAATGATTTTAATGTATATAATACTAAAGAGACTGAAACCAAATTATTTTCTGGACAGTGGGAAGCTGCTTGACCACTTCAAAAATGTGTTCCCAACTTCCCTGAGTACTCAGTACATAAGTAACATTAATAAATTATTTTATGTGGGGCATCGTGGGTGTGGATTCCTTTTAGATCTAACCAGCTTTCTCTTCCTGCTTTTGGATGAGGTGAGGTTATTTTTGGTTTTTTTTTCTGTTTTGAATTTTTCATTATTATAGTTTGTGGCACATTTAGCTAGGCGTTTAGACTGGACTTAGCATTTTTATCCACTTATCAACTCCTTCCCAAGAACATGGGATAGGCAGATGTTATTTTTTGATGGTATTAATTGCAACATGTAGGCAATCACCATCATCATTATTTAAGATTTAATCTTCAATTTGATTCACAGTCTGGGATTGGTAAAAACTTGAAGAGATTAAATCCTAACCAAGGACCTAAGAGCTGCTAAAGTAACAGCTTTATATAGGAAGTTCCGAGTAAGGTGTTTTTTTTTTTGCAAAGTCAGAATATTCAGGTCTGATAAATTCAAAATTTCCATGTATCTAGGCAGCCATTTGGGCTCCTGTTACTATTGGTACAACCATTGATTTCTTCCTCCACAGTCGCCCAACTTCAATTTGCAAATCACAGTATTCCATTATTTTTTTCTAGTTGTTACTCTTCAATTCATGCATTACCTGGTATTGCAATATCAATGAACCAGACTTTTTTCTTTTTCACAACAGTAATGTCTGTTTGGATTAGAAAGTTTCACAAAATCTTGATGTGTTCATTTTCAAGAACTTTGTTAGTTTGGGGTTCCCAGTACTTTTTCCTGCATTCAAACCCAAACTTCTGGCAAAGCTTCCAATGTATGATTTTAGCGACTCAATCATGACATTGTAGATAATCAGTTTGTGAGATTCTGCTGTGTTGTTGTTGTTGTTGTTGTTATTATTATTGTTTACTTATATTCATTAAACATGAAACTCAGTCAACAGAACGTTTCAAAATGTATCACAAATATTATTGACTGGTACTGACGGTTGATACGGGCTGCTGCCAGCATCTTAGGTATCGACCAAGTATCTCCCTAAAATGTATGATGTCCCAAGTAGCGCAGGTTTTTTTTGCAGTTCTGCTGGTATTATTGAGAAATTATTATTATTATTATTATTATTATTATTATTATTATTATTATTAT